GGCGGCGGGTGTGTGTGTGTGTGTGTGTGTGTGTGTGTGTGTGAGAGAGAAAAGCCAGCGGTTGCCAGAGGCCATGAAAAATGCATAGAGCTGGGTGGCGGTTAACCTCCATCACTGCTGAAAACCTACATTTAATTTCACAATTACGGTTCAAGATAGTTTATAATGCCTGAGGGAGGCACAAAAGGCATCAGTGCATGCGTCACATTAATATTTGAGCTAAAACTATAGAAATGTTAATGCAGCATATGAACAAATTAATTCAAGATGCCACATACAGCTTTTCAGACTCTAAACTGACATTTAAGTGGAAGTGTACAAAGAACAACACCTTACAGTTTTGGTCCCACAACCACACTATGGTTACCACGGTAAATGTTTTGCAAAGGTTGCTGCAAATTGTCCTCTCAGAGACAGAAGTGAATTGACTTATTTGATTCTGTTACTAGTACAGAACTCAAAACAACATGCTGATGACTTTTTACCAGCCCAAGTATACGGTTAATAAAAGAAAAACCTAGAATAACTAGTATATGTAATAATTTCATATTCTGTATACTGCCGTTTATTCAATATGACTATGTTCTTTGTTAAATTGCACGAATTGTAGACTAAAGACGCAACCCTTGTAAGAAATATTATCTTTTTAGACAATAACATCGTATCCAGATGAACAAGAAAGCAAGCAAAGTAAAACACTTAACGTTACCATGTTTTTTTTCCGTTTGCTGAGTTAGTCCACCTTGAAACAGTTTCCCGTTTCCCCTGAAAAAAAGACAAATGTGGCATAAATATTGTATTTAAATAATGCACAGCTGTGCGTACATGCAACCTGGGAGAGTTTGAAGCACTTACCAACTGTACACAAAAAAAAAATATCCAAGAGTTATAAAGCTGTCCAGAACAATACAAAAGCTCCTGATGCAGACGCGCCTTCAGCTTGTGTATCAGTCAATGCGAGTTTGGACTGAGCGCTGAGAGCTTTTGACTGCGCCGTCAGTTTCCTGTCAGAACAATCTCAACCAATCAGCGACACGCGTCCGCCTGCCAGCCAATCAAAGAGCGAGAAGTGAAACTGAGCGAAGAACAAACGCTTCACACCTGAGAGAACTGATTGATTCAGCTTATTGATTTGATAATATTAATTTATAACAAAATATAAATTAAAAAGCGTTGAAATAAGAAATATTGTCAATGTAATTATAGCCTATTTTATTCATTTATTTTGATATGTACTACATATTGGATTACACGAGAAACATTTCGGTCTAAAACAAGACAATTTTTTTTTTTAGATTATAGTTCGGGTTCGTATTTTTTAATGCTTTATTTTATCGTTTTGTATGTAATGTAAGGGATCTTAGGAAATAGTTTTGTCAGCGGGATTGTCAGTCATTTTGACTTCATTATTTACACAAAGTGTTTCTCTAGCGCCATCACGTGGCCGTGAAATGATAGTGCAGAAGCGTATAATAAATATAGATTAAAATAGCACAAATTAAAAATAATAATAATAATACAACCATAAACAGGGTTACCAGCATCAGCAAAAACAAATTTGCTGCATCAAGAGACATAAAATAAAAAAGACAAGGAGCACAAGTCTGTCTTGCATATTAACTTTTATTTCTGACGAAATCTTTTATGGTATTTAGATATTAACCCAAAGACTGTGGTCTAAGTTTTATTTAGCTCTTAAAATGTGCTCAACACTTTACACTTCTCATTTAATAGCGTGAATAAAAACAGACAGTGAAAACAAGGCACAGACATCGCGCAAAAGAAGGGATGGTACAGCAACAGGCAGGAGAAATGTGAGGGCGGATATAAATATTTTACACGTTAGTCGATTCTGGACGGTGTCAAAGTCAAGCTAGTAGAGAGAGTGAGACACGTGAGGGAATGTCACGCCGTGGTTTGGAGCGAGCGAGTGATTTCATATAATCCATCATGCAACAATATACAGCTTGAGCCTGGGATGCAGAGTGGTGTTACAAAAGAGATATCTCGTTTTCTTTCTGTGCTCACATTAACTTTACAAAAGAAGCATTTTGCTATCGAGTTTCATCAAATTAGCACATCCATAAAAGAAGTCCTCACCCACCCCCCAATGGTAACCTGTCAGGAACAAAACCGAAGCTCAATAGAAACAAATATCAGAATATAATCCCGACTCTCCACCTGTTTTCTGGCAGAAAAGAACTGCAAAATTAAATATTTACACATTGAGAACCGATTTAAAATCAGGTTCAGGAAAGAAGGATGGTGTGCTGGAATTCAGTGAAGTTTCACGAGTCTTTTTCAGGCTGTCACATAAAAAAAAAAACGTTACGATTCTTGTAGGTAGTTGAAGGCAGTCTAGCATGTCGTGTAGAACCAGCTCCATCAAACAGTTTACACCTTCCTGAGGAACAATCACAACAAATGAAGGTTAATAACAGTTTGTCACATGCTATATCACTTCAAACCAAACAAACTTGCTATATGTTAAATGATTTGTTTGTGAAGTTTGTGAAGTATGCTTGTGCCATCAATTGCGAATTGCGATTTATAAAGTCAGAATTGCGAGATATAAAGTCACAATTGAGAAAAAACTCGCAATTCTGACTTTTTTCTCGCAATTGCAAGTTTATATCTCGCAATTCTGACTTTATAACATATATATAAAATTGCGAGTTATAAAGTCACAATTGCGAGATAAAAACTCAATCTGACTTTTTTTCTCGCAATTGCGAGTTTATATCTCGCAATACTGACTTTTTTCTCAAAATTGCGAGTTTATGTCTCGCAATTCTGACTTTATAACATATATATAAAATTGTTTTAAAGTTATAAAGACAGAATTGCGTGATATAAACTCGCAACTGCGTGTTAAAGTCCAGTTTTGAGGGGGGGGGCTGTTATGTTCTCAGAATTGCGTGTTTATATCTCACAATTCTGACTTTGTAACTCGCAATTGCGTGTTACAAAGTCAGAATTGCAAGAAATAAACTCGTAATTGCGAGGAAAAAAGTCGCAATTAGCTTTTTTATTTTTTATTCAGTGGCGGAAACGGGCTTCCATTTAAATTAAATGCTGTAATCAATGAAAAACTAAATGCATTAGTTTCCACAAATATGTGAAGCAGCACAACTGTTTTCAACAATAATAATAATAAAAATGTTTTCTGAGCAACGAATCAGCATATTAGAATGATTTCTGAAGGATCATGTGACATGTGAAGGCTGGAGTGATGATGCTGAAAATTCAGCTTTGATCACAGGAATAAATTACGTTTTACAGTATATTACACTCAAAAACAATTAATTTAAATTGTAATAGAATTGCACAATATTTCTGTTGTTATTGCATTTTTGATCAAATGAATGCAGCCTTGGAGAATCTTACCAACCCCGAACTTAGTGCAAGTGTTCCTCAAATGTTAAAACTACTATTTTTGAGCAACTGTGCTCATGCTTATGAACACAGGTGTGTTTAATGTGTGTTTATTAACCTCATCATTCTCTTGGCCACCTTCATTAAAAAAGGCCGCAGTCCTTCAGGTTGTTTTTGATGATGACGTCAGTGACGGCGTCGAACACAAACTGCACGTTCTTAGTGTCAGTCGCACAGGTAAAGTGGGTGTAAATTTCCTTTGTGTCTTTTTTCTTGTTGAGGTCCTCAAACTTGGTCTGGATGTAACTGGCAGCCTCATCATATTTATTGGCTCCTGTATAAAAACCACACAGAAAATATTGTCAGCAGATTAGAACATGCCGTTTTAGTTGCTTAAACCTTTAAAAAACAGTTTTCAGCAAAATAACCTTACAGTTATTATAATGCACTACACAAGACAAAAGAACTCAAATCAATGTTCTAGGTTCGACTGAAGCCTCATTGCCGCATTTGTGGGATGATATTGATCTTCACAGAAAAGGATTTTGACTAAGCAAAGACCTGAGTACTCAGGGAAGCAGATGGTGAGAGGGCTGCTTGTGATCTTCTCCTCAAACAGATCCTTCTTGTTGAGGAAGAGGATGATGGAGGTCTCGGTGAACCACTTGTTGTTGCAGATGGAGTCGAACAGCTTCATGCTTTCATGCATGCGGTTCTGAAAAAGAGGAGTGTGATGATTGAGAAACACAGTAACTCAACACCAGAGGGCGCTGTCAGCTTACGTTCGCTCTATGTCTAGTGTACACTAGTTTGACAAGGATCTTCACAGGTATTAGTTATTATGCATTAGTCAGTGTGTGACTGTTGGTAACACAGAAGACGCCAGTCTAAATTAAAACTGAGCATTTCTTTCAGAAAAGAACACAGTATTAGATTTTAAATATCCACATACTCAAGTAGCTATTTACTTGTTTTAAGAAAAATGTTTACTTAAATTGGTACTTATTTCAATACTTTTCAATGCTAATTCAGTCAATACTATCAATATATCAATATTGATCGCATAAAATGCGAAATTAATAAAGAGAATTTTTAAACAACCCTAAACAAATTAATAATTTGTTTAAATGTATTGCTCAACATCAAAATAATGAAATACTTCCAAAATCTTACAATCTTATATTATATAATTTTAATTTGTATAAGCTTACTGCTCAACCTTAAAATAATTAAATATTTCCCCGATCTTATAGTGTTATATTATATATTTTAATGTATTGCTCAACATTAAAATAAAGAATTTTCCCCCAATATATAACATTTTTTAATTTGTTTAAATGTATTGTTCAACCTTAAAACAATGAAATATTTTCCCAATCGTATAATTTTAATGTATTTTAATGTATTGCTCAACCTCAAATTAATAAAATACTTCCACAAATGTATAATTTTATATTACATCATTTTAATTTGTTTAACTTTAAACGTATTGATCAACCTTAAAATAATGAAATATGTCCACAATCTTATAGTTATATTATATCATTTTAATTTATTTAAATGCATTTCTCAACATTAAAATAATGAATTACATCCCCAATCTTATGATCATTTAATATCATTTTAATTTATTTAAATGTATTGTTCAACATCAAAAAAATGAAATACTTCCAAAATCTTATATTATATTATATCATTTTCATTTGTTTAAGCTTACTGCTCAACCTTAAAATAATTAAATATTTCCCCGATCTTATAGTGTTATATTATATATTTTAATGTATTGCTCAACATTAAAATAAATAATTTTTCCCAATCGTATATTATATAACATTTTTTAATTTGTTTAAATGTATTGCTCAACCTCAAAATAATAAAAATACTTCACAAATTTATCATTTAATATTACATAATTTTATTTTGTTTAAACGTATCGATCAACCTTAAAATAATGAAATATTTCCCCGATCTTATAGTGTTATATTATATATTTTAATGTATTGCTCAACATTAAAATAATGAAATACTTCCCCAATCTTATGATCATTTTGTATCACTTTAATTTGTTTAACTGTATTGCTCAACCTCAAAATAAATTAATACTTCCCCAATCTTATTATCATTTTATACGATTTCATTTTATTTTGTTTAAATGTATATCTCACCCTTACAACAATGAAATACTTTGTCCATTGTATGATAATTTATTTCATTTTAATATAAAAAAATAATGTTCTTTTTAGCAACATCATATGACCCCTTTAAAAAGCTTCAGAGCAGCATTAAATCTGCCTTAATTTCTGTGTCACAGTCATAGAGTAAGTGGGCAGAGGAATGGTGTTTGTATTCACCGCATCTGCGCTCGCTTTTGAGACCCGACACCTGCTTTAGTGCCTGATAAGCTGTGTTTACAATGGACTGCTTGCAACTGAATACTACAGTATTGCTTACTACAGGAGTTCACAACTTTTTAGTCAGCAAACCCCCCTAGAATCGAGATTATTTACTTGAGACCACTTGAGATGTGTGTGTGTGTGTGTGTGTGTGTGTGTGTGTGTGTGTGGAATACAGTGTACTCTGCTTGCATACTGCACACTATAGCTGATGTAGCCGGTCATTTGCATATTTCATGCATACAGTAAATCTGCCTGATGTGTACAGTACAGTGATCAGAGTGAAGTTTTGAGTTGAGTCCAATCTTCAGCAGTTTCAGCAACACAACAGCTGCTCGTGTGTGAATTAGTCGTTGACTGGAAGCCATAAACAGTCATATTAGCTCAGTGAGCCGTCGCTGTTGGACAGGCTACAGGCCTGAGCGCTGAGCGCATTACTATGGCAACCCCGACTGACACTGACCTTTCATACATCATGATTCAGGCTGAAGAATTAGCTCATACTTTCCCAACATGTGATCGACAGAAGATACCATTTCAGTTTCATAATAGTCCTAATAATTTCACCTATAAATGTGAAAACGAAGGGTTTTCTGACCATTTAAACAGTTGAAATGCAACCCTTTTCTCCTTCATGGGTGAATATTACAAAGCCTGTCAAGAACATTTCTAGGCCATACTTCACACACACGCACAAATTATATATTATATATACACATTACATGATATTATATCTTACACCTAGAACAAAATAAAAATAATTATATAAAAATTAAAATAATTATTGCTGTTAAAAAAAAAATGTAAAAGGTAAAAAACAAAAAACTAATTTCAACTGCAAAGTATTCAGCAAGTTTATTAAAAAAATGCATTGTATACAAATTCTACAAAAAATATTATTATTATTTGTTTTTATATTATAATATTATTTTTCTTTCTATTTTATCTATATCAGTTAAAAAATATGACCCAGATATGTTTTTAATAAATTCAATATATTCACATAAGCATGTGGTGACTGAATTATTTCCCTCTGTTATGGCAACTGTCTGTAAAGCATGAGAAAGGATGTGTAGAAATGTGCCGTGTTCACAGCCAATCAGCTCTAATCTTCACCTCTGTTCCCTGTGGCATATATACTGTGTGTGTATATATATTTTTTAATTACATTGCAAGCTCTTCAGTTCAAACTGATTTACAACATAAACAGTGACGACAAACAAGAACAATAATTCTATTAAATTAAACACAAATAAAATGATTATTTCCCGAGGTTATGCATTCAACAATAAATGCTTATTAAAACATCATGCTTTTCTGATCACACAATGAGCAAATACTCAACAATTGCATTATTCTGAATAAAACGGTTTATCTCAGAGTCATTTAGAATTACAAACATAAATGAAAAACAGAGCTCATCTATTGTGAGATGAACTGAAATGACCCACTATCTTCCTTTAGTTTGACTGTTAGTTCACATTTCATGCTTTGAGAGTTTATTTCCTAGAACGCTAGCCTTCCCGCCAGCACTGGTTTTAATGGGCGGCACTACAGAAGGTTTCAGGATGAAGATCATATGATGGGCAGAGAGAGCTGCATGGCCTGAGGATCGTGACAGACTCCATCTGCTTTAACTACTGCAGGATGAGTCTGAGACGTGGGAATGTGAAGACTTCGTTCTCTTTCAACAAATATACCGAGCTGAAAGCAAGTCTTAATGCTACTTTTGATCTTGGTTAAGGACTACCTTATGTATGTAGTTAACATTAACTATCCGACTGTTGCAGGGTTCTTAGTTTTTAGGCCCAGAACTCAAATGTGAGATTTTGTGTATAACTGTTAAACATGATTATAACTTCAAACATACATGTATTTTATCTATATCAGTAAAAAAAAAAAACACACATGAAACTACATTTTACCTGAAATGGCACAACAGAACAGAAAAAAAGTGTGTGTGTGTGTGTATATATATATATATATATATATATATTCCAAAGTAAAAATTACATACATATACATTTCATTTATAGACTTTATAATAAAATTAATTATAAATAAATACTTAATGTTTATATAAATATTTATCTTGACCTGGAATTTAAATAAGGATTTTTTTAATAAGAATTTTACACATTTTATTTATCTACTTTACATATAAACAACATATTTATTTATATTTTATTAATAATAAATACCAGAATATCATTTAATATTTTTCAGGTAGAACATTTTTATATTTATAAAACATTTACATTTAATCACAACTTTTCGATCTGAAGGTGATTGCTTAGATGCATGTTGTTTTGTAGACAAAGTTAAGTCAAATGTGTCCAAACTTTCAATTTAATGATGTCACAGTGTGTGTGTGTTGATGTCACAGTGTGTGTGTGTGTGTGTGTGTGTGTGTGTGTGTGGTCAGTGAAGGTCTGAGTGTGTTCAGATCGTGACCTCATTAAAGACAGAAGACATCTCTGCTAACAACAACAGATGGACTTGGCATTGAGTTCCCTGCTTGGACCTGCCTCCCATCATGCATCAGTGTTTATGTGCTGGTGCTAAAACACAATTAAAGTCACATTCTGTCTAGGGAGAGATTTGTAATTTAGTTTTGTGCTGCCACTCCTCGCACAATTGTGTTCCTCAAGTGTTTGTGTTTATGCAGCTCTGAATTACACGGATGAAATCTAATTAAACAGCAGGCGGTGTGAGGCGTGAGCTGCAGTGATCCGACAGAGGTGAAGGAGAGAAGGGAGAGGATTTAACTGCTGAAAAATTACTAACACACGGCCTCCAGTGGCTTACTGCTCTCATAAACCAACAGCAATATGATAAAAGACATCAACGATTGTGTTTTATGATTAAGCCAACATTTTAACTGCTGTGCAAAAGTATGGGGTAAGTTTTTATTTATATATATATATATATATAAAGAGAGCAATACTTTTATTCAACAACTGTGCATTTAAATGTTACAAAATGTAACACTAAATGTCACAAAAAAATAATATATAAAAAAATGCTGAACTTTGTTCATAAAAGAATCCTAAACAATGTATCCCAGTTTCCAAATATGAAACAGCACAACTGTTTATAACATTGATAATAATAAGTGTTTCTTGAGCAGCAAATCATCATATTAGAATGATTTCTGAAGGATCATGCGACACTGAAGACTGGAGTAATGATGCTGAAAATTCAGCTTTGCATTACATGAATAAATTACATGCTAAAATATATTCAAATAAAAAACAGTTACTTTAAATTGCATTAATATTTCACAATATTTTTTACTGTATTTGTGATCACATAAATGCAGCTTTGGTGAGCAGAAGATACGTCTTTCAAAAACCAAAAATTCTTACCGACCCCAAATTTTGAAGTGTATAAGGTCATGTAACAAACCTAAAGTGTTTTCACTTTGCATGCATCTGTATCTGTATCGCTGCTCTGTGCACGTCTATGTGTTCAAACATCAAGTCTATCTCTGCTGTGAGAATATATCTCATAAACATGGTTTTCTTACATTGCCAGATTGCCAGGGTATTTATGAGCTGTGAAATGCACGCACAGTTCCCTAAATAATTAAATTAATAAAAATAACCATAAAAATAATTAACATAAAAATCAATTAATCTAATTTTAGGCCATTTTCATGCCTATCAGTGCAGCAATTTATGCATTTATAAGGAATTCAATTCAGTCAGACATGTTCACACATGACTCATCGGATGAGATTTTAGGGGCGGAGCTATATGCATTTTAGAATCAGGGCTTCCACAGCATTACACCATATACATTGGTACCGAGAACCGTGGATTTTCACTGGTATCGGTACCGAATACTGACATTTTGGTACCGTGACAACACTACATGCCAGTGAAATACCTACCAATAAAATACTGCAGTGATGAGAATAACTAGTAAGACTATGCTATCTGCCTAAATTCCATATGGAGCATGTGTATAAGTGTGTAAATGTACAGTAAGATGTGCAGCAGGTACAGTATTGTGTGTGTGTGTGTGTGTGTGGACACTCACTAGGCAGCAGAGTCGTTGAGCTGATATTCTCTGGATCGGGTGAAGCATCCCTGAACCCCGCTGTCGGCCCACAGTCTGCAGATCACATTGGCCAGATCATCAGTTAAGATGCCCTGCTCCTCAGCTGCTGCAGACAGAGCAAACAGCTGCCGCGCATCGTCCTGCACGCACACACACACACACACACACACACACACACACACACACACGAGATGTGCTGAGCGAGGAAAAAAACATTGTTGAAAGAACTTGACTGTAACTGGAAGCAAACTTTGCTTTAGAGCAATTACAGATTGCCTTGAGCAGGGATTTACTGCAAAATTACTCTCCCCAAACATATTACCATGGTATATTTTTAATGGCAATACTTCAAGTTAAAATAACCAAGGAATTGCTTATTGTGAATCATATATTGATGTACAGAATAACTCGATCCACCTCTGAAGGATCTGAGACTGTATGCAAAACATTAAACCTGAAGATCAGAAAAGTGAAGTTGCAAGAGTGTGTGGGACTCTGAATTATTTACAGAAACCCAGCATGACCTACATACTCGTCCCAGACATTACAGGAGGTCTTACCACTCGGCCGGTGTCTCCGTAGTCGATCTTGAGGTTGCTCATGGCTTTAATGATGGCCATTATTGACTGGATGGTGTTGCTGTAGACCACGGCTCTGTACTGCTTACACTCGTCTTCTGAGTAGCCATCTTCATGGATGATTCTGAACAGAGGGTGAAATGGAATAAATAAATTATATTGACCTGAAAAGATCAGCAGAGAATGGTATAATACTATCTGTAAAATAAAATAAAATAAAAAATAAGATAAAATTAAATTAAATAAATCTAATTAAATAAAAATTAAACAATCTTATTATAATATCTGGGAATGGTAATTTTAAAAATCTAAAAAATAATCTAATTTAAAAAAAAATAAGCAGAAAATCTACTTCTAAGCAAACTAAAAAATTAAATTAAATTAAATTGAAATTAAATTAAATCTGGGAATGCTAAAGAAAAAAATCTTATTAAAATCTGTATTAAATAATTTGCATCAAAAGATCTGTATTAAAAGAAACTCTGTAATAATTTATTTTAATTGGTCTGATTGGTTAATGTGTCTATCACATGAGTTTTATGAGGCAAATATTGGAAGCAAAAAATATTAAACCATAATAGGTTTAATATTTTTTTTTATACAGTTGTTGCTACAACTAAAACTGTAGCCTATATATTTATTTCAAAAACTGATATTGGCCATTGTATTAACTATATCAGCCATAAAACAAATTATCAGCCAAAAATGTGTATCTGTGCCTCTCCGATTTAAAACGTGCAGTTTCACAACTGGCTGTTTCCAGTGCTGAGCAGTAATGTGCATCATTTAACACATTCCATATTCACTAACGTCAGCAAATATCACAGTCTTCGCTTCCTATAACCGAGTCAGCAAATATAAAATAGGCCAGTTGGGCCTTATTGACATATTTTAGATTACATCTTTATCAAAATCATTTAAATGTATTTGACTTAAAAAAAAAATTTTTTTTAAAAACTGAAAATGCCAGTAAGGAAAGCATTAGAAATAGATATTTTTAAAAAATGTTTTTCGGAAGCTCAGGCTAATGGATCTTAACAGGTTTGATAAAATAAAGCTGAATCGTCATACACTTGGTAAATGGTGAATTGAAGACGTGTGATACATGACACCTTCAGGACTGTTACTCTGGGTATAAAGCAGCAGAATTTGCCGTGTTTGAAACTCCCGTCTGCTGCTGCTAACACTCATTGTCATTGTAACACTGTTTCTGCTTAAACCTGCATTAACGACCCGAGCGTGCTGTCCTCATGAAAAATGGATTGAGATCCCAGCGCCTCCAGTCAAATGGAAATGATAAAACTATTCAAGGCTTTCGCTATCTCTCTTTGTGCATCTGACTTCTACTTACACTGAAAGATATATATAGTACAATAAAAACGTTTATAGCCAAGAATAAATGTGCGCACCTTTCATCCAACAACTTTCATTTATCTTACAAAACCGTGACCTGATTGCTCTGCATATTATGCACACAATTTTATATATATAGTCTTTTTATTATTTTTCTCCTTTTACATAGTCAAGTAATTGCAAAAGAAACATTCAAACTTGAGTTTTTAAAAAGGCATTCAACAGTAACAAACATTTAAACGTTTGGGGTCAGTAAGATTTTAAAAAACCTTTTATTCAGCAAGTATGAATTAAATTGATCAAAAGTGATAAAGAAATACATGTTATAAAAGATTTGCTGTTCTTAACTTTTTATTAATCAATGAATATGGAAAATTGTTTTCACAAAAATATTAACCATTTTCAACAATAATAAGAAATATTTCTTGAGCAGCAAATCAGCATACACAAACTCAAAGATCTTCACAACAACACATTAAAATAGAAGTCTGGTTTAACTTAGTGACAGAAATATATTATTATTGTACAGTAGAATGTACTTCTCAAAGTAATAATAATAATAATAACAACAACGGCAAAAAATAATAGGAGTTCTTACATTTTCATTTGTTTACATTTTTATTAAATTGTTATTGTTTGATTACCACTATTTTTGATAATAAATTTGTAATAAAAATATTTAATTGAATTTGTATTAAATAAATTATTTGATTGCAAACGTTCTATGAATTCAACTGATTAGGCATGTTTTTATTTTGTAAAATCTAGTTAAACCATTAAAATGGAACCTAGAAAAATTTTAATGGAATTTGGGGGAAGAAAAATATTCATAAATTTCATAGGGCCCTAAAAAATTAATTTTTGTTAAAACTTTAGGAAATATATTACCACTATACAGTAGAATGCACTTTTCAAGGTATAAATAAATAAATAAATAATGTTGTAATCATTTTTGTGCCATAAAAATAAAAGGAATTTTTCTTTTCCTTTGATTACATTAAAAAATGTCATAGGGCCCTACCGTTTTATAAATAAATAAATACAATTATAACAAATTATTAAACTGTAAACGTTTAATTAATTTAATTGATTGGACATGCTTTTTTTTATAAAACTATTTAGAAATTTTACAGAGCCCTAAAAAAAAAAAAAAAATCAACATCTTCTAAAAAAAAAAATCAACAAGTTTCTACTTACTTCATCTGTTTCACAATGGTGCTCTTCCCTGATTCACCTGCACCTGAAGAGAGAAGAAAGAAGTCAATGAAAACAGAGTAAGCAGTCAAATAAAATTAAAATACTGGATTTATCTATTTATATATTTGTTTTAAATGGTAATAATATCAACGTCTATAAAATAGTCCATATCACTGTGCAGCTCCTATAGCCTATTGCCAATTTCACTGCATAGCAACATTTTGTTTTAATCAGAGGTTACAGCATCTTCTCAGCCACTTGTACTTATCGCTTCAGTACAGAATACTTTCATGAACCCTTATACGCCTCATAGTACATTCACGACATACAGTCGTGAGTACAGATGAGTTCTCAAATATTCTGTGCATGATATATCATATGTGAAGTATGGAGGCTGTACAGTAACGTGTGCTTATATTGAAAGCCTCTGCACTTCCTCCACTCCTGAAGATGATTTTAGACTAATACTGCTCACTGAAGCTGTGCCAAAACATCTACTGTCAAAACTCAGCTTCTTGTTGACGGCTCTCCGCTTGTTATTTCCGCTGCACAGAAGCCTGATGTTCTGAGGGGCGGCTCACAAGTACACCCATGTATACGGAAAGGGTCTGGGAACAGTTATTATTAACAGATTATTCCTGAATAAATGTAATGAGCTCTGTCTGTCAAAGTGGTAAAAGCACAGCTCTGAAAGTGCTGAGAGAACAAAACCCTCTTCCGGTCCAGCTCTGAGTGGAAGATGTGGAGAGGTCATTCAATTACTGTGAGTGGACAGATAGAATCCTGAGTTACGCTCAGGGAGACAAACAACTATATCAAAAGGCTTTCAGCCAAGTGTAAAGGAGAACGAGACGTTTTTCATCAGATCGAGATCGCTGCAGAATAATTGTTCCTACTCATGATTTATACAAGATGATGTTTCAGCCTTTGGTTTATATCAAAATACCATGGTATTAATATCTGTACCAGGGTGCAGATTTTTGTGTGTGTGTGTGTGGAAAAAGCCAGAAAGCAAAAAAAAAAAATCATCTCCATTTAATTTTTTTAAGCATGTTTTAATGTAGTAGGAGATGGAAATGAAAACGCAGCATCTGCGCAGGAGTGCCTTCAGCAGCCCCTACAGCGGCGTGTGAAATGTGCGTCTCCTCGGCCATCTGCTGAATCATTAAAACAGCTACCTCGCCACGAGACACACTCACTGCACAGTACCACAAACCAATTACTAACTCATACTTTCATCTTTTTAACAAGCATCTGAAGAGATTTGGCTTATATTCAAACCACAAAAAAGTGATAGAAAAATGTAAAAAATTATAAATAAAATAAACTGACAACCAAATGCCCCTTTATTGGAAGTGTGTAAAATAAAATAAAAAAATAAAATAAAATAAAATAAAATAAATAAAAAAATTAAATTAAATTAAATAACTGATAACCAAATACCACTTTATTGGAATTATAAAATAAAATAAAATAAAATATTAGACAACTGATAACCAAATACCACTTTAATAGAAGCATGTACTTTTTGTAAATAAGTGGAAAAAATAATAAAATAAAATGACAAAATAAAATAAGTTTGACAACTGACAACCAAATACTATTTTCTTGGAAGTGTGTAGTTTCTTAAGGCAAAAACAAGAAATGACAATTCGCTATCAAACACCATATTATTCTTGAGGAAGTGATTAACTACTAGGGATGGGTCACAGTTTTCAAACATTCGATTAGTTGATTTAATTATAGAATATCGAATAGGTTGTGTGATTATTGTCTTAAAAAATGTCCCCATGTTTTCCGTGCTGATGCGGTGGTGACGCGTTCATGTAAGCAGAGGGTGGCGCTGCCAATAACGCACCTAAAAGCTGTCAAAGACAACAGAAGAACACATTGTCTCACGCACACACTGTAGACTTGCGTGGCATAAAAAAAGACTTGCGTAGCATATAACGGTTACAGTAACTTGTGACGATGTCAAATAAGAGTTCTGTGTGGACCACAAACACCCCCGACTGGGTTAGAGGTGTGGCTGAATCTGTGTTCAGAAAGGCACGGAAAACAAATAACGCGTTCTGCGGAGCCACTAAAGGGACATGGTTAGCC